GAACCCATTCTAAACAACTGGCGTGTTTATGACAGATGTATTGAACGTATATTACACACTTGATAGAGCTACCTACACCACCCACTTAACACGATCAGATCCTTGATCATTGGTTTCATATATTTATTGATCATACCGAAAATAATGTATGCGCTTTAGCCATGAAGAAAATCCCCAGTATTCTCAATCAATAGTTCACAAGGACTTCCAGCAATATGTTTATTATATTTTAGTGGCTATATATAATTGAAATTTTATTATGGTGATTTAAATATACATTTATCAATGTTAACCAATATTCATTTCGTAACATTTGCACCTTCTCAAATGCTTAGTGGGTGTTGCGAACATCGGAGATGATTGATTAACTCGACTGTTTTTCTTAACATGCATTGAATTAGTTTTTTCCTGCCTCCAGGACTGAATATCTCAGTTTTGCCGAGGCTTTTACTATATTCTTAAATGAAGTAATGGCTACTCGCAAATGTATAAAACTGTCCGACATTGTATGAGATATTATTTTCTACCAATAGTGTTACGGTCGTAATGAACGGATTACAATCGTTACAATTGGCTACATGACAAAAGGGTTGATTTCAACTTCTCAATTGTCAAGTTTCCTTTCAGGTCGAGCAATATTCCAACAGTTCCAGTCTTTTCCAGGTGTTTACATTTCACAACTTTTGAGATACAACCGCGCACATGATCATGACATGCTCTTTCTGCTCAGAAGTCGTTTGGTCAAGGTTACAACATTCAAGGCCTCAGTAAAACTTTCAAAAAGCTTTTTTGGTAGAAATGTGAAGGACATTCGAAATTTGATGCATCAGTGACAAAAAATGAATTTGGAAAGGGTTTTGCCGCTTCTATTTACAATCGAAATGAACACATTGCAGCCAGTTGTGAAGTATGAGAGTCTACGTAATAACCGCCAACATCCTTGAAGAAAAAGCGGGTTAAGAAATGTGTTTAATACATCCACAATTTCTAAAACATTCAGTCACTCGAAGAGGCATTCCAGACTCCCCATTGTCTGTCCCACTCCTGTTGCGGCACCTGGCCAAGTTCAATCAACGTGGTAGGTGGCAATGACATTGTCTCTCTTTTCATCTTCAAAACTTGCGGGAAAGGTCTGGTTCCATTGATATACATCGCATTCTGTGGTTGTTGTGCCGCTGGAGTTGAGACCTGAGGATTCGAGAGTGGTCAGGCGTAACTGACCTGGAAGAGAAAACGTCCACTCTCCACGCAAACGGGACAACAAAGAGTGTAAGTATGTTGTCTCGGTAGTCCAAACTATAGTTGGTTGGTTTGTTGTTTAACGCTGCACTCAGCAATATTCCAGCTATATGGTGACGGTCTGTAAATAATCGAGTCTGGACCACACAATCCAGTGATTGACATCACGAGCATCGATCTACTCTGTGGAGATACGATGACATTATGTCAACCAAGTCAGCCAGCAAGACTACTCGATCCCGTTAGTGGCCTTTTACAAAAAGCATGGGTTAATAAAGATCAATTCTTACCCTGATCTTCACGGGTTTCCAAAATATAGGATGGGTTTAGGGGTTACGTTTTACAGGCAGAAACTTTCTCGTCGCAAATGTTACATTTGACAACTTTATAAATGTCATTGTGTATTCTGCGCTTTCCTGCGTAAGAGGCTTGTCAACATTTATCATCTTTATTGTATTTGGTTTTAACATACAATGTATATATTTCATGAACCCCTACTTTTTGACAATATGACACTCGATTCATCTCAATCAGTAAATTGCTTTTGAAGTAGGTAGTTTTTCTAACGTGGATGTACCTAGGCCTCGTAAAGATTAAACAGATACCTTACACTCATTAGTTCCACCACAAAGTCCTCTTTTTATGATATATTGTTTCGTACTCTGTTTTCTTTAACATATTAATGCATTTTAATTTATCAGTGGGTCAGTTACTATAAAAGACAGCTGGAAAGTGATATTGATAGCCCAAACTCTACTGTTTTGCTATGGCTATTCTGACAATGTGTATTCATGAAAATTGTCATCCACATCAGAATTCTAGAGTCCACTGAAGGAGTAAGTGAGTGAGTTTAGTTTTACGCCGCACTCAGCACTATTCCAGCCATATGGCGGTCTGTAAATAATCGAGTCTGGACCAGACCCATTGAAGGATCGCGACTGTATCGTAATCATGAAATATGAATCACTGTGAAATATTAATGATCACAGCTGTCAAAAAGGTTGCGTATCCTGATCCAACGATGGGTCATGTTGCAAACACTACCTGACTGAGTTTTGGTTTTACGCCGCTTTTAGCAATATTCCAGCAACATCACGGCGGGGGACACCAGAAATGGGCTTCACACATTGTACCCATGTGGGGATTCGAACCCGGGTCTTCGGCGTGACGAACCAACGCTTTAACCACTAGGCTACCCCAGCGCCCCTTGCAAACACTAGCAAAGACAATAATCATTTAACCTTAAAAAACACCGAACAATAACAAGGAACGTGAGTCAAAATTAGAAATTGCATCGACACAATTTGTGTCTCTGATGCTTTATATTTGGGAATGCACTCAAAAAGGTTCTTGAAAGTTTTAGCTTTTGAGTCGTATAACAAACTATTAGCAACAATAATGCAAACATTTCGCGTATAAAACGTCATCGTCAGAAGATATAGTATGACCAGAAATTATTGAGAATTGTAGGAATATGTTTAATTGGATTTCTAGTATAAACAACCTTGACCAGCTATCAAGTGCTTGATTTCATTCAAGAGAGACAACTCCGTTAATCCTTCTTCATTAGTTTGTGAAGAGTTATCCCCCTTTGTTTACTTGCTAGCAGACGACATTTTCAGTGATCCTCAGTATGGATGATATAGAGAAGAGGAAGTTGATTTTAGAGTATTATAACAAGGACATCAGATCAGCTAAAGTAATTTCAAGTAGAACAGGCATCCCTTTGTCCACTGTTTATCGTGTTTTGAAAAATATTGCAAATGGATATGGCATTGAGCACCAGGGAGGCGCAGGTAGGCCCAGAAACTTGACTGTCGGTGAAAGGAGGCGGCTTGGTATTGTTGTTTCTAAAAACAAACGAAGGGGTTTAGAAAACTTAAGGCTGGATATGATTGATAGAGGAAGTGTGGCTGTCTGTAAGGAGACAATTAGAACTGAGCTGCATGCAATGGGTTGGCAGAAAAATCGAGGAATTCCATCACCGATCTTGAAACCTGAACAAAAGGAGCAAAGGTTGAACTAGTGCTTACAGCATAGAAATTTTAACTGGGACAATGTAATTTTCTCAGATGAAAGTTCTGTGTGGCTGTTTCCTAATACACTGAAATTTTGGACCAAACAAACTGAAAAACCTTTGTATTAGCGCCAAAGTACAGTCCGAAATTTAACGTGTGGGGTGGCATATCGGTGTTAGGGGCAACGCCCCTCTGTGTATTTGAAGGGAATATGAACAGTGAGAAAATGTTTGGGGATTTATGAAGGAAAGTGTCAATAAGAAAAATCTGACAAATATTGCTGAAATGAAAGAAGAGGTGGTCCGATATTGGGAGAGCATGGACCACGACTTTCTAACTTCTTTGATCAGTAGTATGCCCCGCCGCATTGAAGCCTGCATTGCCGCCCATTGTGACTGGACAAAATACTAACTGTTCACCTGTCTTTGAATCTGGAGTTATGTTCTGCTAATATTCACATTTAATACGTGAGTAATGAGTGAAATCTTTTTTTAAAATTACAATCTTAAATTCTCAATAATTTCTGGTTGTACTGTAACCGATTATCCACGAAGCAGAATCCTTTGGGTGTGAGAGACAAAATGAGCAAGACGACAAACCCTGGTAATATTTTGGATTATTTTGTGTTTAGAAATTATGGTTGTTCAGAGTGAGTGAGTTTGGTTTTACGCCCTTTTTAGATACCATACTACGGACCACGGGGACTCACAGTACTTTTGCTACCTCCATGGACCCCAGTTGGATCTACACCATCCCTTCAGCCACTGCATGGCCCTTGTACTGATATTTAGTCATTATAAAACAACACATATTCTACGATTAAGAAAGTTGGTTAAGCTGAAGGTGGACACCAGAATGGGCCTCACACATCGTACCCATGTGAGGAATCGAAGCCGGGTATTTAACATTTATTAATGCCGCTCCACAATACACGTGAAGGTTCCCATTTATGCGCAATGTTGTACATTATAGTTATAACGAGTTATTTCTGAATGATAACAACCTTTCATATGAACCGAAGACCCGGGTTCGAATCCCCACATGGGTACAATGTGTGAAGCCCATTTCTGGTGTCCCCCGCCTTGATATTGCTGGAATATTTCTAAAGGCGGCGTAAAACCAAACTCAGTCAGTCAGTCAGTTACATATCAACAATTTATCTTAGTTTTGTTTCGTGGTCAGTTGATACAAATAGGAAAATATTAGAAACTATAAATCTTTTATGAATCAAATGGTTTTGATGTAATAATGGATTGATGGAGTGACTGTAGATTAGCCATATTTGTTTGATGTGAGCGTGTCAATCCCAGGTAGCACATCCCGGAGGGAGAAACCTTTTGCATAAAAATATGATTCGTATCGAATGCTATTATAATTAGGACACGTGAACAAACAGATGAATACATCCTCATAATCTTGTGCGCAGGAACAAGAAGGATTATCAGAAATGAATCAAGTATATTTATCACTATTTAAGTCACTGTCTTTATCGATTAGCTAAGTAATCCCACGTTACACTCCAAGTGCTGTATTACATGAACTGCAGCACTTTAAAAAATGACGCAGCCTATAAATATATTTATTAGCCTGCTGAAACTTAACGTCAAGCAACAGCCTCATTTATCATTAACTGGCAAAGACATGAAAGTTATATCCGATCGCTTGAAGTGTTAAACTTTACCAGTGAAAAGAAGGGTTAAGCCTGATGTAGGCTATAAAAGAAGAGACAGATTTATCATCAGCCACCGGGGAACATTAGCTGAAAGCTGGTAAGTAATCTCAATTATATGCTGTATAGTAATATCCATAACACTGGTAGTCTTCAGTGACGCACGAGGTAATTGAGAACTGGTGGATCTCACTAGTTGACAGTCTCAGCCAATTTGATGAAAGCCTATTAACCACCATTTTTTGCAAGGTCACATAGGATGACGCATTTAATCGACGATATCTGGTGACGATATAGGAATCATGTAGAATGGGATTTGTGTTTAATTGAGTTTCTAAAAGGATTCACACAGTTTCAAGTTACAGTTGAACCATATTCAAAATATGGTGTTGTCAAATGATTTGACTATTATTTTTATCATGTTTTATCAAATCATAAGAAATACAAAACAGATTGTTGGTATTTTATCCCAACATAGATATGGGCGATAATATCCTTCCCACAACGTTTCTGGGCTATTCCTTGCCCCTTTGTCAGGTGAATCGTCACAAATTACATGACGAAGGGGCAAGGAATAGCCTAGAACGGTGTGACATGCAATAAAGAAGAAGTTGTCATTCATTATATTTGCGTTTTACTTGAACACCAACTTCTAAATGTCTCTCATGAACATTTCCATACCCATACGAAAAATCTGACAGGGTTGATTGTACAATTCCAATTATATCATGAGAATGTGTTTTAAAATCACACTCAAACATTGACGAAATATTGCCTGCCCTAACCGTGTCACCGTCATCAACATTTGGAAAGGCTGGTCCTTTGTTCACCTGAAACAATTCGCTAATGTTTGGATCAAGTAAACGAATAACATCGGACATCAGTTTTATGACCGATGCATTAAATTTTCTAAATATCCTCCACATGTCTGCCATAAAACATTCTGAAAGATTCACTGAGGCCTTGAATGTTGTTGCCCCGATCAAACAACTTCTGAGCAGAGTCATATTACGCTCATAAAAATGATGAGACAAAGAGCATGCACGATCGTCCCTCAAAAGTCATGTAAACAACATATGCTGGAGCTGATGGAACAGTGTTCCATATGAAGGGAAATTTAACTGTTTAGAAGTTGAAATCCTCTCCTTTGTCATACAGCCTTGTGGAGACCTTTTGTCACTCTGAATGGTTATGCATCGATCTAAATATAAAATACATGATTTGGTCTCACTTGCTTCCCTTATTTCAAGGTAAGATTGGTACATAATGGCATCAAGCTGCCCATAATCTTGTGATGCATTTTGAAGCCATATAATGTGCATAATTGTGTTATGAAAAATCAATTAACAATGCATTTATATTATTAGAATTACTTTTGTGAGTATTTAACCAGTCTACTGACTGTTTTAAAGGTACATTCAATATACTGTAAGTGTACTGTATGCAATAATATTCAATAGAAACTGGCCATGTGATTTACAAAATGATAAGACTGTTGGATGTTTACAAATATATCTTGGGGTTTCTTAAAAATTATGACAGTGACAATAAGGACTGTAAGTTCTTTATGTGAAAACAATGAGTGAGTGAGTTCAGTTTTACGCCGCTTTTAGCAACATTCCAGCAATATCACGGCGGGGGACACCAGAAATGGGCTTCACACAATGCACCCATGTGGGGAATCGAACCCGGGTCTTCGATGTGACGAGCGGGCGCTCTAACAACTAGGCTAGAAGAAAAACATCGTAGCAATTATTTTCAAGAATCAGTATTATTTCATTTGTGATGTAGTGTATGGTGCCATCTTATGTGATAAAAATGACTTTAACTCCGGTGTGTATGAAACACAAGACTGTTGACAAATGTTGAACTGGAGATTAGAATACCTGATGTAACAGGGCTCCATCCAGTGGTATTACTTGTTTATTCGATTATATTGATAGAGGCGGAATATTTCAACACACAGACAGTAGTTACCATAGATGTATAGAGAAATACGGAAAACATTTAATTCCAGATGAAACGCTTCTTTTGGAACATTCTCTTCTGGGAAAACGTTTTCTCTCTTCAAAAGAGGGGCGTTGGGGTAGCCTAGTGGTTAAAGCGTTCGCTCGTCACGCCGAAGGCCCGGGTTCGATTCCCCACATGAGTACAATGTGTGAAGCCCATTTCTGGTGTTCACCGCCGTGATATTGCTGGAATATGGAATGCTGCTAGAAACGGCGTAAAACCCAACTCACTCACGATTCTGGCTGGACATTGAGCATGTGCTTTTTTAATCAACATCAACATCAGTGAAGACACGTGTTTGCGGAAAAAGTGAGCGTATTCGGCCCCACCGAGGCACCGGTCATAAACAAATGCAAAGGCTAGTCAATTGTTCGAAAAGGGAACGTATGGTTAAATCAATTATACATGATACAAATTTCAAAATCTTGATGAAAAGAGCAAACTCGAAATGTAAACACTGGAGCTCTGTTAGACCATTGCTCGACGTAAAGGGAAGGTTGACTGTTGAACATTTGAAGTCATCCTCCTTCGCATGCATCCTAATAATGCTTCAAATTTGGAACCAGCATATAGCTGGAATATTGCTTAGTGCGGCGTAAAACAAAACTCACTAAAACTCAAATTTGGAAATGTCCTCAGAAAATGTCGGAACATGGGTAACGAGAACAAATTAACAAATTAACTTAATTTCACTGGACATTCAGATGAATGAAGCTCACTTGCATCTGTGTTTCAGATACCTTCAGGATGAGGAACGTGTTAGTTTTTGTGTTGGTCATTGTGGTGCTGTGTGTTGCTCAGGCCACCTACCCACCACGAGGCCGGTATTACCCCAGACCTTACGGGTATGGGCACCCAGGATATTACCCCAAGCAATACCCCAACTATTACCCCAACTATTACCCTCGCCCTTTCCCCCACCGTTATCCTCCGTATCCCCGTGACGTTAAGGTCATAGTGAACACGGATCAACACATGGTCAACAACAACAGACCAGGAAGGTTTGGTCAAGGCGAACAAGATTCTAGTGGCATCAATGCTGCTGACATATATATTTTGAGTCACCCCAAAAGAAAGTCCAAAACTATCGTCTCCAAGGTATGTGACGTACTGCATATTGCAACGATAAATAGCTAACTGTTATATCAGCGAAAGCACAGCGTTAGCGCACAGTACCTTTTCCACTTATGATCACGTTAAAGACGCCTTAACCAAGGCCATTAAAACAGTAGAGTCAGTATGTGCACACATGTTTTCATACGTTTTAGGGAGACTCTGAGTCTCGAAAAGTACAGCTTGGCTCAAATTAATTTACAGTAAATCCTTATAAAATTGCTACCTTTTTCATAATGAACAACTATTTTTCCAAAAGGTAAACAGTTATCTCTGTTGAATAATAATTGTTCTGAATATGCAAAAAAAACCTAAAAAAACAACAGCAATAAAGTCATACACTTGTCGATCGTTTATCAATTCACCCTACTTAAATCAATATATAAATGGCATGGTTAGAGATAATCCCTTTTGTTTATAAGGATTAGCAATCAATCTAGATGCATAGTTATGAAAGCCTTGATTCAAACCCTCGATCACAGGTTTCTGTCTACCCAAGGGACATGTTGTATCACAGAGAATTGGGCCAACCGTAACCCCTCTCGTTTAAGAAGTATGACATAAAACATAGCTGGAAAACTACTGTCAGCAACTTGTATGATATTTAATGCGCTTATTGTTTTAATTCTGCATTTATCTATCAATATAGTTTTGACATCGCGTCAAATAACATTTAAACCAATGGCTGCTTTTAGTCTCCATCAATGATTCTTTGATATTCCAGAATAACAAAATGACGACCAATCAGAAAATAAACAGTTAAGTGATTATTACCTCTATATGACCTTTTTCAAAAAAAATATATTGACATTTGTTATTACAATTTCAACTGTAAACGTCTTTTTTTACGTTTCAGAACTAGTGAAGAGGAATGATGTAACAAAACTTCGGGTGTGTGAGCACACCGTGACACAATAAATCATTGTGACATTAAATCAGCTTAATGTGTTTCATTTCAACATTGCAATATTCAGTAAGAAAACATAAGAGACGTTTGCTGTTGGTAATGTCCAATACAACATCTGACGAAAGTGATGAACTCACACAAAGACAATAGAAACGACTCGTTTAAAAGTAGCAACTGGAATGGAGAATCTCTTTGTAAGAACAGGTGTTTCCTGTACGGTCTCAAATAGCAATACTATACCTCTGATTAAAATTGAAGACAGGATGGTTAGATCACTGCTACTGCTTTGTTTTCCTTGAAAGGCCCGGACACAAACCCCTGTAAACTTCAAAGCTAACCAACATGCCAGCTGATTCTGAACTGATTCTTTTATGGAAAGACAACTGCTTTATTGTAATGGGTGCGACGTTTCAGTGTAGATGCCAACACCGTTACCAAGCACTTGCAAAAAAGAAGTTGTCTATCCATGATAAAATCGTTCCTGTTCATCATGCCAGCTTCTAAATGCCACTCAAAGAAACTGATTGGACTAATCGCCCACGGAGACAGTTTCACGAATTCGTTTCTTTTACTGAAAAATGAAATAACAAATGTAACACATTTTGTTGAACGCCGCAATAGTCGAGCTGTAGTAATCATTCTGTAGATAATCGAGTTTGAACCAGATAGTGCAGGTATCGATATCACGACCTTTAAAGTTAATATACACAGTTAGGATAAGACATTCTCCTACGGGAATCGAGTCACTGATTGCAATGTAAATTAATATGGTGATATATCAGATTCACTTGGATATTGGGGGTTAAACTACATAACTCATATCGGTCGATGACTGCAGCTACAACCTTTTGGTATTCACGTTTCCCAACGTTATGGGTACAGTCGAGCATGCTCTCCTTCTTTACCAAGATTTCAAAGAGTGCCAATGGACTCTTTCGCAGAAGCTGTTCGATCAGCATTTAAGGTCTCATGAATACTTTTTATGGTTGCATGTTGAGGACGTTTCCAGATTTGACTGACTGACTGAGTTTGGTTTTACGCCGCTTTTAGCAATATTCCAGCAACATCACGCGGGGGACACCAGAAATGGGCTTCACACATTGTACCCATGTGGGGATTCGAACCCGGGTCTTCGGCGTGACGAGCCAACGCTGTTTCCAGATTTGACGTGCTGGTGACTGAAATGAAGTCCCATGGTGTACCCTGTTTCGGTTTGTGTCATGTTTTCCCTCGCTTTTGGGGTAACAATTTGGCTTGTCATTGTTTGTGACGATTGCCATTGGTGGGGGAAAATACACGCAACTATACGCGCACCTGGTGTCATCACTGTTTGATAGTGGTTGATAAACACATGCTCATCACATATTTTGTTGCAAGCAGATGACTCAGCTTGTGGCTGAGGTTTCTTATGATCCTGGAAAAGACTTTGTCGCTTTTATTCACAACCAGAGATATATGAGACATTGTTACCAGATCCATGGGGATGCTTCAGTAAAATTGGTCCAATGACTAAACCGAATAGGATGTTTAGGTTTAGTGAATGTGTGGGTCAATAATCACACACGTGTTTATCACACATATTACCATAAAGACAAACCGCCTCACAAAACTGAAACGAGATACATTGATCTCTGCTGACGAACAATTGTACCATACACAACTGAAACACTGTGATTGTGACCAATGGCATGTCACTTTATTCACTCAACAAACATGTTCAAACATGATAAATGTTATTTTGGGGTGAAATAGTGAACGCAGAACGCCAACTACATTCAAAATACATCGCTAACATCAAAATGAAACGCACGGAACTCGTGAATCCTTTAACGACAACAATGCAAATATTGATATACATTGTTTAGTCACAATCTATATCCGTGTTGGCGATCTATAGCCTGTTTTTATATTGTATTGTCCAAATAGTGCTATTAGTTTTAACTCACCACACTAGTTCTAGTTATAATTGAGATATTCTAGTTGTTTTACTGTCCTTCGTCGACAGGTTTTTATAACGTACATATATTATATATGTCAAATGTTCTCATTTCACTTTTTATTGTATAAATTGTTTTCGTCACGATATGGCTGTGATATTGCCGATGTGACGTTAAATACTAACTCACTCACTCACTCACAATCTATATCCAGCCAGTTCCAGAGTCAAACTTCTATGACTAAGTCAACCTTACATAGATGTGTTTTAACATGGTAAAAGAAAATCAAATTTGTATGCATAAAATAAGAATCAATACAGTCGCTGAAACCGTTAATTATGAAGTTAGTAAGGGGGCAAGAAAGGCTTATATTGACATGAGATTGACATGGTATTGACGCTGCTTGTGAAATATTTCATAAACGCAATTAACCTATCACTAGTCTATGTTGATATAAGTGCGTAATGCGCAAGGATGCCTTAAGGGCACCACTGTAGATTGATCCTGACGGTATTTTCTACACAAGTGTGAATCATAACGTATAAAGTTCTCTTAATGGGCGGAAAGCGTAATTGCTCAAACTTCTCATGTTTCAAGTCGTCGCGAACTAACGTCCCATTAAACTTGAACCCTTTAAAAAAACAACGGAGACGTGAAAGGGTGTTTCCTTTAAATATGTCACTTTTGATTGGTTAGGATTTAAAAAGATACACTGTTGCTATATAACAGAATGTCAGGATTCAACATACGTCGCTAACAGTCTGGAAGCAGGTAAGTGGTTTGTGTCACAGTTGCATGTCGAAGCGGAGGGGTATAATTCCCACTACCAGAATTACAAATAGGAATTATGTTATTCACTGGACCTGAAGGTAGTCTGTCAGCTGTTATATTGATTTTATCCAGTATAAACTGCGAAAGCCAAATGTATGACCAGTCTCAAACAAGTTTATTGTTCTGCACAAGTATATCATTTACACAAGTATATCCTATACACAAGTATATCCTATACATAAGAGTAGTACTTCCTTTACATTACAATCCGTGAAGATCCGGGTTAGAATTGGTCTTCAGTAACCCATGCTTGTCGTAAGAAGCGACTAACTGGATCGGATGGTCAGGCTCGCTGACTTGGTTGACACATGTCATTGTATCCCAGTTGCGTAGATCGATGCTCATGCTGTTGATCACTGGTTTGTCTGGTCAAGACTCGATTATTTACAGACCACCGCCATATAGCTGGAATATTCCTGTGTGCGGCGTTAAACAACTTTGATCGTAGAATATATGTTCTTTTAATGTGTGGTTAAGTTGCACAAAATTCGCCAACACCCGAAGGATTGATGTAAATGTATACCGACCTGGTTAACTGCGGGTGCGATTTGGTACCTTGACGACGTGAATCCTTGCTCATACTAATTACTGGACCGTCGGAGTCAATTGGACTGGTAGATAGCAATGTTTTGAATGACAAACAATCCATCTTGCTGGGACGCCTACGTTCCTTTGATATATTTCAGAGACCGCCAAGATGAGGCTCGTTGTCGCTGGTGTTCTGATTACTGCCGTACTTGGTATGGCCCAAGCCCACTATCCTACAGATTCCTATCTTAAAGATTCTTATTCTAAAGATCAATATCCTCCAGTCCCCCAAGAACCTGTAGGTCACCAAATCCCAGGAGGTATTGGAGGTCCCCAAATCCCTGAAGGTCCTGGAGGTCCCGGAGGCCCTGGAGGTCCAGGAGGTCCTGGAGGCCCAGGAGGTCCCGGAGGCCCTGGACGTCCCGGAGGTCCCGGAGGTCCAGGTGCAGTGAGAAGGACCTTTAGACCAGGCCGTCATCCGTTCCTACCCAACATCCATGTTATAGTCAATACAAACCAACGTATGCACAACAACAACAATGCTGGAAGAAGGGGTTTTCCCGGACTTCCGTTTCCGTTTGATGGCCCAGGCAATGTGGCCTTTGTCGGCACTGGTCCGGGGAACGTCCTTCGGCCAAGACCGCACTTCTCACAACCAAAACATTTTGGTTAACACGAGGTATGTACTGATGTTAGAGATGGTGAAAACATTTTAGATTCTCGAATAAATGGCCACCTTTGCATTCCATCATAATTTCCCGTGTTAGAACAGGTAAAGGCTTGGTTTGGCTTTTGGACGTATTTGTGGTATGTTGTCCCTTTCGCGAACACCAACACTATGAATACTTATTCATTAACCGGAGAGCGGAAGGTCGCGGGTTCGATCCCCGACCGCGTCATACCAAAAGACGTTAAAGTATGGTACTTGTTGGTCCCTGCCTGGCTCTCGGCATTAATGGGTACAACAAGGACTGCGTCGGCTCGGAGTCAGTGTTATGTGTCTGAGTGGGGTATTCATGCTTCACTGCGGCATGGTATCTCAGTGGGCTAGCACTATAAAACAAGCTTAAGTCTGGGCTAGTGCAAGCAGCCGCACATACACATACACACGCATGCACGTCGTCATATGATCGAAATATTCTCAAGCACGACGTTAAACCGAATTTCACCTCACCTCACCTCACCTCACCTCACCTATCCAGTAACACATGCTCTTGGTATATTCGGAATCGTGAATGCTATTAGTGGATGCTTCTTATGATTATCTGCACTTATACAATGCACTCCTATCTTATTGATTTTGAACGAGTTATAGTTCAAACTAATAGTTATGAAAATGGTACATACGGGTACAAGCGAGTGAGTCTTAAATGCATAACCCCGCATCAGTGTTTGGCTGTTAAGATAGGAATGGTTTAATTCGGGACATAATGAAAATGAACAGAAGGTCGTTTTCTCTCAACAAACCATCTCACATTGGCTTGTACTTAAGAGGAATTGACACCTTATTGTAAGACCCGGGCAACCCGTCTAGCAGATGTTGGTACCCTTTTTCTGTTCCAGACAAATACTGATTGATATTTTATAAGTGCTTTTGTATCCAATGTGGGGGAAAATATACCAAACTCTTGTGAGATAATTTACCAAACATTTTGCACTGGTCACTGTTAGTTTATTTTTCTATTCGAAGTTAGAAGGTTAAGCAAATCTTAGATCGATTAGGGGAAAGAGATTATCCTGCTTCACACATTATTATATATATTTGCGTGCAACTCAAAGTGACAAGTTTTATTTATATCGTAATCCATATCGAAGTGTAAGGCTGAACATTCACCTTCATGTTTTCAGTATCACGGGTTCTTAATCCAGTTTGCCAATGCTTCTTTCAAACACTGTTCGTACTCTCACCACAGATTGATCGTAGCACTACGATCGTTATGCGGGGCACTGAAGACTTCACTTCAGCTCTTCTGTTTCAACTAACAATATTGAAACATTATTTTTCAGAGTTTGCAAGCCTTGACCTTTGACCTACGACAGCACCAAGCTCTGCTGACACAAGACCGCGATGAATCATGTTGGCAGTGGCAGAATCATGAATTCAATTGCGTGCTCAAGATAAAATTATTTATCCAAATACATTGTTGTCGTCATTTCATCCCACACTGGAGTGAGTGAGTGAGGTTTTACGCTTTCACCAATATTCAAGCAAGATCACGGTGGGGGACACCAGAAATGGGCTTCACACATTGAAATCATGTGGGGAATCGAACCCGGGCAGTCGGCGTGACGAGCGAACGCTTTAACCAATAAGCTATCCCGCCTCCCACACTGGAAGGGGAAAAGCTGTATGTCGGTTAGCCTTTTCAACAATTATCAATATCCGGTTGTCGCAGTTACCCGAACAGGGTTGCTTCCATTAGATGTGCCCGTATCCATTATCATGGAATTGAAGCCCACTTTCTCCAAATTCAGGATTCTTGGTCTGGCAGCACAATACCATTCCTGATTGTTCTGTACAGTGACATGACGTCGTGATATGACTACTTACGCCTGGAGGCTCAACTCGGCCATACGTTGGTAATACTGCCTTTGGCAGCGTAAATGAGTGAGTGAGTGAGTGAGTTTGGTTTTACGCCGCTTTTAGCAATATTCAAGCAATATCACGGCGGGGGACACCAGAAATGAGCTTCACACAATGTACCGATGTGGGGATTCGAACCCGGGTCTTTGGTGTGACGAGCGAACGCTTTAACCACTAGGCTACCCCACCGCCCCACAGCGTAAATGAATTAAGACTGTTGTCTGTGTTCTTGGTCGGTATAGTAAATAATAGTTCTGGTCCAAGAAAGGAAACAGATATACAGGTATTACAGAGTGTTTTTAGAGTGAGTGAGTGGGTCAGTGGGTGAGTATTGCTTAACTCCACATCAGCAATTATTCAGCTTTTTGCTGTGAACAATGCCTTTTGTTTTACAATATACTGAACACAATAAAAGTATTGTTAAACATCAGTCAAATATCACATTCAAGGGTAAACAAAACGCATCTCTGATATTTTAATCTATATTTTTTCATACAATTTTATTTCTTTTAGATACTCTTGAATCAAGTGGTTAGGAACATTAAAAAAAATTCATATGAAGTAGCAGCGTCGTCTGATATGTGAAAAATCAACACTTTCAGGCACAATGTGCTTGATATTAATGGAACTATGGCGAGAGAAGCATTGCGGTGGATCTTCTCCTTTCAAATTAAAGGAGTTAAGACTATATAGTACCTTTGAAGGCTTAATGCTATCAAGATGAGTTGATTTTTCTCATACAACAGGTTTGTGTGTGACTCCGTGCGTGCGTGCGTGCGTGCGTATGTGTCTGACTGTGCACGTGTATGCTTACGTTGATGATATTGATGTTTGAATATTGTGGATCATGATCTTTCCTTGGAGTTGTAAATATATACAATGGGTCTTTGTACTGTCTTTCTTCAAAATTAAAGCTTAATAGGAAAATATATTATAAAACGAAGTGATTAAAAATTAAAAGGATGTGCAAATCGAACATTGTATGAAATGTCATTTTCTGAAGTATTTTGACATATTCGTAGGAGATGTTTCTTCTCGATGTAAATATATTTATTCCTTTAACAGCACATTTCATTTTAAAAGGGGCGGTGGGAGCCTAGTGGTTAAAGCGTTGGCTCGTCACGCCGAAGACCCGGGTTCGATTCCCCACATGGGCACAATGTGTTAAGCCCATTTCTGGTGTCCCCGCCGTGATATTGCTGGAATATTGCTAAAAGTGGCGTAAAACTAAACTCAGTCAGTCAGTCATTTCATTTTACAAACACATCATGCGAATAATGTGTTTTGAAAACATTAATCTGTTTCAGTATTTTCTCAAATAATAACAAACCTGATATTGAATATCAAATGGTTATTCGCTCAAGGCAACATTGGTCAGTTAGACAAATTAAATGCAACAAAGAGAATTAAGGCCAGATTAACAGCCAATAAGCATGAGTGCAGTGAAAGAAGACGCGTATGCTGATCTATTTATCAAAGTCTGTTTGTTTATAGTTCACACTGCAATCAGCAGTGTAGTAGGGATATCGGAAGTGTGATATCCCTGTGTGTTATGAAGTATTATCATGTAAACTCTACAACTGATTAGTCTCGTGGTTAGAGGTGAGGTGAGGTGAGGTGAGGTGAGGTGAGGTGAGGTGAAATTGGGTTTTACGTCGTGCTTGAGAATATTTCGCTCATATGACGACGTGCATGCGTGTGTATGTGTATGTGCGGCTGCTTGTACTAGCCCAGACCGAAGCTGGTTTTATAGTGCTAGCCTACTGAGATACCATGCCGCAGTGAAGCATAAATACCCCACTCAGACACATTATACTGACTCCGAGACGACCAGTCCTTGATGTACCCATCAATGCCGAGCGCCAGGCAGGGACCAACAAGTACCATATTTTAACGTCTTTTGGTATGACGCGGTCGGGGATCGAACCCGCGACCTTCCGCTCTCCCTCGTGGTTAGAACGTTCGCTCGTCATGAAAGACGTGGGTTCGATCCACCACATGGGTACAATGTGTGATGCCCATTTCTGTGTGTCCCTATCCGTGATGTTGCTGGAATGTTGCTAACAGCGGCGTACAACCATACACACTCACTCACTCCCGCTGATTGTTGTTCATGGAGTTTCTGCTACCAGCAAGGTATTAACTATAATTCTGTTGTCTAAGTGAACGTTTCTCAGGAAAAATGTTGTTCACACAAGTAAAATTAGGCACTTAGACACAACAGAAACCTATAATTGTGGGGTCGAATCCCATTTCGTCGATTATGTTTGACAGCCGGTATATCAATAAAATTGGTGGTTAGCTCCACGCCCTCCCTCAGATCACTAACTGAGATAAACATCTAAAACTATATAATTCATATTTGATCCTCCTCCCGACGGGGTTCTCTTTAAAACTGAGTTTTGCCCATACAATCCTGTGTTTGGTATGACGAGCTGCGTTTAACACTTTGAAAATAAACTGGAAAAGGAGAGATGACAACTGGAAAAGTAGAGATTACAGCTTTAAAAGTAGAGATTACAGCTTTAAAAGTAGAGATTACAACTGGAAAAGTAGAGATTACAGCTTTAAAAGTAGAGATTACAGCTGGAAAAGTAGAGATTACAGCTGGAAAAGTAGAGATTACAGCTGGAAAAGTAGAGATTACAGCTGGAAAAGTAGAGATTACAGCTGGAAAAGTAAAGATTAAAGCTGGAAAAGTAGAGATTACAGCTTTAAAGCGTTAGAGAGATTACAGCTGGAAAAGTAGAGATTACAGCTTTAAAAGTAGTGATTACAGCTGGAAAAGTAGAGATTACAGCTGGAAAAGTAGAGATTACAAAGCTGGAAAAGTGAGATTACAGCTTTAAAAAAGTAGAGATTACAGCTTTAAAAGTAGAGATTACAGCTGGAAAAGTAGAGATTACAGCTTTAAAAGTAGAGATTACAGCTGGAAAAGTAGAGATTACAGCTTTAAAAGTAGAGATTACAGCTGGAAAAGTAGAGATTACAGCTGGGAAAGTAGAGATTACAGCTGGAAAAGTAGAGATTACAGCTTTAAAAGTAGAGATTACAGCTTTAAAAGTAGTGATTACAGCTTTAAAAGTAGAGATTACAGCTGAAAAGTAGAGATTACAGCTTTAAAAGTAGAGAGATTACAGCTGGAAAAGTAGAGATTACAGCTGGAAAAGTAGTGATTACAGCTGGAAAGTAGAGATTACAGCTGGAAAAGTAGAGATTACAGCTGGAAAGTAGTGATTACAGCTGGAAAAGTAGAGATTACAGCTTTAAAAGTAGAGATTACAGCTTTAAAAGTAGTGATTACAGTTGAAAAAGTAGAGATTACAGCTGGAAAAGTAGAGATTACAGCTTTAAAAGTAGAGATTACAGCTGGAAAAGTAGAGATTACAGCTGGAAAAGTAGAGATTACAGCTGGAAAAGTAGAGATTACAGCTGGAAAAGTAGAGATTACAGCTGGAAAAGTAGAGATTACAGCTGGAAAAGTAGAGATTACAGCTTTAAAAGTAGAGATTACAGCTTTAAAAGTAGAGATTACAGCTTTAAAAGTAGAGATTACAGCTTTAAAAGTAGAGATTACAGCTTTAAAAGTAGAGATTACAGCTGGAAAAGTAGAGATTACAGCTGGAAAAGTAGAGATTACAGCTTTAAAAGTAGTGATTACAGCTGGAAAAGTAGAGATTACAGCTTTAAAAGTAGAGATTACAGCTGGAAAAGTAGAGATTGCAGCTTTAAAAGTAGAGATTACAGCTTTAAAAGTAGAGATTACAGCTGGAAAAGTAGAGATTACAGCTTTAAAAGTAGTGATTACAGCTGGAAAAGTAGAGATTACAGCTTTAAAAGTAGAGATTACAGCTTTAAAAGTAGAGATTACAGCTGGAAAAGTAGAGATTACAGCTGGGAAAGTAGAGGTTACAGTTGGAAAAGTAGAGATTGCAGCTGGAAAAGTAGAGATTACAGCTTTAAAAGTAGAGATTACAGCTGGAAAAGTAGAGATTACAGCTGGAAAAGTAGAGATTATAGCTGGAAAAGTAGAGATTACAGCTTGGAAAGTAGAGGTTACAGTGTGAAAAGTAGAGATTGCAGGTGGAAAAGTAGAGATTGCAGCTGGAAAAGTAGAGATTACAGCTGGAAAGTAGATAAAAGCAGAGATTATAGCTGGAAAAGTAGAGATTACAGCTGGGAAAGTAGAGAGATTGAAAAGTATTGCAGCTGGAAAAGTAGAGATTACAGCTGGGAAAGTAGAGGTTACAGTTGGAAAAGTAGAGATTGCAGCTGGAAAAGTAGTGATTACAGCTGAAAAGTAGATATTACAGCTTTTTAAACTAGAGATTACAGCTGGAAAAGTAAAGATTATAGCTGGAAAAGTAGAGATTGCAGCTGGAAAAGTAGAGGTTACAGTTGGAAAAGTAGAGATTGCAGCTGGAAAAGTAGAGATTGCAGCTGGAAAAGTAGAGATTAATTACAGCTGGGAAAGTAGAGGCTAAAGTTGGAAAAGTAGAGATTACAGCTGGGAAAGTAGAGATAACAGCTGGGAAAGTAAACATTACGTAGAA